CGCCCCCCCGCTGTGTTTCTAAAAGGGAAAGAAAATCAAAGAGACCCTAGCCCTGATAACTGGTAACAAACCTGTGACTGGAACTCTGTCCAGTCTCTGAACTCCCCGAGCAGGGCTTTTCCCACTCTCCCGTAAGAGACCCAGGGTTTTTCCTTTGAGCCCCTGGCTTCTTGGCTGGCCATCTCTTGCCTATGCTGTTCCTAGAATTAATGATCCCATCGAAGCCCTCAGCCCACAGTGGTCAGGATTCCCAGACTCTTCAGCATCTGCCACCATTTGGCCAGAATTCACATATAGAAAGTTATTTCCTTTTTTAGCCACTAAGTGCTCTTGGCTGCAGCCGTGTCTAGTGCTGGGTTTTCGGCTGGCCAAACAACAAGCTCTGGTGTTCCATTGATGTCAAATCATAACAAGAACAACTGAAACAAAAATAGGAGGTGGGCCTCGTGTTTCCTAAAGAGTAGTGGGATTCGAACCCTGCCTTCACTCTCCAGTTGTGTGTCCTTAGGCAAGTCACTCAGCCTGTCCGTTTCCTCCTCATCTGAAAAAAGGGAATGTTTACTCATGGGGATTCAACAGTCTGCGGACGTGTGGAAGCGCCTCAAACGGTATCTGGCACATAGTAGACACACAATCAGGTTAGTTCCTTGTTTTCTTTTCTGACATTTCCAGTAAAGACTCCTTTCAAGCATGATCCAACTAGCCAACCTGATACAGAATTTGGCAGTGCAGCAGGCTGGTTAGAGTAACCCAACAAGGATGCTCACGGGCCACCGGGTGGGGAAGGTGAGGAAAACAAGGGCGATGGGAAGGATATCAATTTCTCTGTCCATTCGTTATTTCACTAGACCCTTGGGGGCAAGCATGGAGAAGAAAGGAGGTACAGGGTCCCACTGAGATCAGGCCCCTCTCATTCTTGTAAGTGGTTCACCCTAGTTCCAGACTTTTCTTTAAGTCAAACCTTTGGGCCTGGAGATGGGCTCCGTATGAATCCACATTATAAAATGTGTGCTTCATGTAATTCCTGCCTTCTGAAAAGCTGCAGCACTTTTGAATCTGATCACCAACCAATCCAAAGGCACATCCACAGGTTAGGTTTGAAGCTGGCTCAGTTCTACTTGGAAAAGAAATCGGTGACCTGTGGAGAAGGGCCATCCCGATCCCTAACCACATCCACCCTCTCCTGAAGTTCTGAATCATGAAGATCCCCGGACGGATTAAGATCCTGGAAATTATCTGTGAACAAGAGCCTTGAAAGAGAGGCTCTTTCGAGTCCCAGCTGTTTCTCCGTGACTCTAAATGAGACATTCCCCTCCCTGAGCCTCAGTTTGCTTGCGTGTAAAAGAAAGCAGTTGAGCTGGATGTTTGCTAAGTTAGAACATCTGGGGAGTTTGTGACTTGACTTGACCAATTGCGATAGTATGGCAAGTTAGTGGCAAAGCCAAAAAGCAAAGCTAGATTTTCTGACCCCCAGCTTAGAGGTCAGCAAAAGTAGTCCCAGAAAAAAAAAAAAATCTGTGGTCATAAAAACCAAGCAGTACTTTCTCAGAATTACATGTCATGGTGAGACTTCACTGTGGGAAGGCTTTTACATCAAACGAGATGTAGTTCATAGAAATGGGCTGAGGACCAGGTAACCTGGATTCCACCCTATTGTTCTATTGTTCATTGAGCACTTAATATATAATAGCCATTTTAAATACAGTTTCCCCCACCATCCAAAAAAGTAGAGTATTCCTATGAAACCATTTGTAAGCCAAAATGGCGTAAAGCAAAGAAGCAATGACCATTTCATAAAAGTGAAAATCCTCTTTCAGATTTCCATCAGTGAAAACAGGTACTATAATGTAGGTCTTTTGTAAAAGTCCTGAGGGGCACCTGGGTGGCTCAGTCGGTTAAGCGTCAGCTCAGGTCATGATCCCAGTGTCCCAGGATTGAGCCCCATGTCAGGGGAGCCCTATGTCCTGATTGAGCCCCATGTCGGGCTCCCTGCTCGGCGGGGAGCCTGCTTTTCCCTCTGCCTCTGCCCCTCCCCCCACTGTGCACACACTCTCTCTCAAATAAATAAGTAAAATCTTAAAAAAAAAAGTGGCATAAAGCACATGTTGGATAGTGGGGAAATACGTACATTATTTTATTTAATCTTCACAAAACCTTACAAGGAAGGCATTTATTACCCTCTTGGCAGATGAAGAAACTGAGGCTCAGAGACATTAAAGAATTTGCCCCAGGTCACACAGCTGAAATCCTAACCCAGATGTTGACTCCAGATGCCCAGGCTCTTCCTTCGGCCCAATCCCTGAATTAAACTCTAAGATCCCTCTATGCTATTTCAATACCTCTGATTCTGAGAGCTCCTGACTCCCTTATGAAAGTGAGTGGATCGTTGAAGGCTGATTTTTTTTTTGCCCATGATTTGCTACTATCCAGAAACAACTGAATCACAAAGTGGCATCAAGCTGTCATTCTCCAAGAATCCATAGCTTCTGACTATAGAAAGGGAATCGGTTTCTTTTCTAGGAGATTTGAAGCTTTCCTGGAAAAATGGGCGTCTCTCCCCTTTGGTCAGCTTAATCCTCGAGCCCAAGGTGGGGCCAGCTGGCCCAGAGCCTGCTAGAGTCCCCGGTGGGTGAGGTCTTCCCTGAGGCAGGGGGCAGAGCCTGGGCCTTGGGTCTCGCTGGCCTGAGGACTGCAGGTCTCCCGACTGATCCAGGCAGACAGTCTCCCTATGCTGCCTTCACTGGCTACACTGGGATCAGCCAGTCCCCAGGAAGCCAGGCTGCACTGTGGTAGCCCTGCTGGCTGCCAGAGCCCAGAACCCTCCACTGCATGCACCCCCAACAGCCAGCAGAGACGATGAGGGGCAGGTGGGCAAGTGAGTGTTCCTGCCAGAAAACCAGATCGTGGAGATACTTAAATGGAAGAAGCAGGGAGGCCTGGGGAGAAATGGAGGCTCAGAAAACACAGCTGAGGACGGAAGTCAGAAGGGGCCTAGGTATGAGTGAGCAGAGCAGGATGTTCTCCCAACCAAACTGAACTGACTCACTGTGTCATCCCTCATGGGTCACTTTCCTTTGCTAGGTGTTGTTTTCCCCACTAGTGGAAGAACCGGACAGGCAATCTAACAGACCTCTTCCAGTCCTAATGGCCTAGGATTTTTGGTCGGGATAAGGGGAGGGGACAGGAGTGAGGCAGCTAGGGGACAAGAACAACAACCGGTTTCAAGAGCCCAGCAAGAACATCCATGGGGTTCTAAGGCAGTGGCAAAGCAGGGCAACATGACGGTGTTACGGCTGTGGCTTGATGAACTTCATGTGTCTGGGTGCAGGGATGGCCAGAGGGTACCAGTTTGGAAGCCAGGGAACACAGCTCTGGGTTTCCTCTGCCATGAGCACTGTGGTCAGGGGACTGCTCCTTGGCAGCTGCTGAGTGAGGTAAAGACGTGGTGGGACGGCCAGGGGAGCAGGCTCCAAAGAGCTCCGCTGCCCTGGGGAAACTGCCGGAAGGTGGAACGTTCAGAGCTGTCCCTAGAGAGCAGTGAATCAGGTTCTTGGGCTGAGCTAGGGCTCTGGAGGCTTTGGGTGGAAAAGATGAGGGCCCGCTAATATGAAAGTCAGGCTGGGGTGCCTATAAGTACCAACTCGTGTCCCCAGTTGTGAGCCATGCCACCTGGCAAATGAGGATGCTACACCTCCACATACTGGCTTTTGTCTTCTCTCGTTTTGCTATATATCTCTTGGGTCTCCTGACTCCCCGTCCAGTGCTCCTCACTCTGCCCTTTCTTTTCTGCAGCCAGTCAGACCCAATGTGCCAGAGCCTTGTGAGACGCTGAGGAGGAAAAACCAGGAATCCCTCCATTATGACAGCATACTGGGAGGGGGAATCTAGTTAAAAGTGAGCAACGGCATAGTACAGATGTAAAATCCTTGTGATAAGCTTCCCTTTTTCATGATTCTCAGGTATATTTGAGCCTAAGGAATCATAACCTTGTACAATGTTACTGCTGAATGGAACTGGAGGGATTCTTCTACTTCAAACCCCTCATTTTCTTTCTTTCTTTTTTAAAGTAGACTCCACCCTGGAGCAGACATGGCCCTGAGATCAAGACCTGAGCCAAGATCAAGAGTGGCACGCTTAACCAACTGAGCCACCCAGGTACCCCACAAACCCCTCATTTTCTAGATGAGGAAACTGAGGCCCAGAACAGGGAAGTGTCTGGCCCAAGGACACACAGCCACTCAGGGCACAAGAACCCAGATGTCTCAACCCCCAAGTCTGGGTTCTTTCGCCACATGCTCAGAAGAGAGGTCAAGGAGCTGACAGAAACCTTTGTGCCCTGCAGCCATCTACCTCACCCTGTACCCAGGAGGAAAGGGGACCTTCAGTGGACACCTCTCCCCACTTCCACTCTGGGTCTTCACTAGCCTCTTTCCTCTGACAGCGACAGCGAGTGGCAGGCCAGACTGCTCGCAGCGCACAGCGGGGACATGATACTCTGCAGGAAACTTAAGCAGGGAATATTTTTAAACCACCCAACATGCCGTAGGGGGGAAAAATCAAAGCACTCCCCTGGATGCTGCGGAAAGCAGTTCAAAAAAGATTCCAAGCCTAGAGGAAGCACCGTAAAACAGTGATGGTTTTTGTTTGTAAAGGACCAATTTCATCTTAACCAAAGTTCTTGGAAATGAATCGCTGAGCTGCTTGGAAGATGCCCCTGGAGGGCAGCCACTCTGCCAGAGGTAGACCAACTCCAAGGGCCCTCCACTCACATTTCTACAACTCCTTACAAATCAAGTGAGTAATTTATCTGCTGCTTCACAACGATCCTCCTCCATATATCCCAACCTCACCATCGCAGGGACTAGTGATGGGGTAGGGAATAAGCCCCCAGGTACAGAGAAGGAGCTTTGTTGTTGTCCAGCCTGGAACTCAAGGCTCTCTCTTCTGGCTCCTTCCCATCAACTGGTAGTTTCATCTCTTAAAAGCCAGGCTATCCTTACCTTCTCCCGGGTCCTCCTCTCTGGAATTTCACGGGCTTCCCAGTCCTGGGTTCCTGGCTGCCTCCTCCGCTGCCCAGTCTTCCCCGTTCTCACTCAGCCTGTCAGTTGCTCTCCCACCCCCTTTTGACTCCGTGTCTGTCGCCCTCCCTCCTCCCACTTCTTCCTATTCTTTAGCTCTCCACCCCCTTCCCCCCAGGTCCCTCCCTCCCGGCTCTCCCTCTGCTCTTAGAATCTTTCCTCACTTCAAAAGTTTTCTTCCCTCTAGCCCCCTGCAGTCTCTCCTCACCGGGAGAGAGGAGACGGAGCCTTCCTCCTTCCCTGCTGCCCTCCACTGTCATTGTCGCTGCAGTCCTGGCGCCCTCCCTCTCCTTCGGGCGGGTGACACACAGCCTCCCTAGTCTCTGCAGAGCCTCCCTGGGATCCTCTGGCCAGGGCTGTCCTGGGGCATCAGGGGAAAACTGGCATTACCCAAGAGGTCTCTCTTGTCCATCCTTTTCCTACTGTCAGAGAAAAAGAGTGCTCCTTCATGGACAGGTCTTTTGGGGACCTCCACTATGTCCCCAACAGTGAGCCGAGCATCAGCTAGCCTAGGAAACAGTCTCACAACTCACAAGCACCAGCACCCAGAATAGACACCAGGGGTGACTGGAAAGCTCCAAAGGACAGGGAGAGGGCACTGCCACTGACCAGGATCATACTCCTCTCCCCCCCTTCTCTAAAGAAAAGAGAACACCTTCTATGTGTCCAACAGCGGGCTAGAATATGTATTCATATTCCATTTTTATTTCACCTAATTATTCCAGTTTCCAGTTCTACACAGTAGACATTCCTACATTTGAGGAAGTTCAATCATGGTGACCCAGTTGGTAAATGGTAAGAGTCAGGATCAGAATGTTAGTCAAAGTCAAAATTCACCTCTGTGCTCCCCTCACAAAAGCATACAGATCTCCCAGCTGGAATCCAGTGGATGGAAGTAAGCTTATCTCTTGTCAGATCATATATCATAGGCGAGCAAATTCAGAAACTGGGAGGCATCTCTCCCCTCAAACTCCCCTCATTCCCAACTCCTCAACTTAAGCACTTAGCCGTGGACCCAGCCGGAGTGTGACAAATATCAACAACAGAGGTTGCTGAGAGTGGCCTGAACCCAGACAAACCAATGACCAAGAGCCCACATGTTGTGACAGCAAGAAGAAAACCCCGGAGATCGTCGGGAACAGCCACGGAAACTGAGGCTCAGGGAGTCGAGGTCACTTGTCAGTGTCACACCCAGTAAAGTCGGTGGCAGAGTCAGGACCGGAACCCAGATCCATTCCTTTGCTCCACATTATCACCGTCACACATAGCACTGCTCACACACATTTCAACGTTTTGCAAAAGCTGTTTGTTTCTTTAGTGGTGGTATTTTTCATGGGTGAATAAGCTTAGGGTCGGCAAGAGGGCAGAGAATGTGGGGCCAAACTTCCTGTGTCCAGGGAGGCAGCAGCCCTATCGAAAACAAATTCTGGATTCTGGATTCCTTAGTCAGAGTTTCACTCTTTTTTTTCCTATGTAGTATCAGAGCAGATTCCAGGGCCAGCCTGTCTGGGTTTGAATCAGGGCTCTACCACTCACTAGCCATGTACCAGTGAGCAAGTTAACTTGACCTCTGTGCATCTCAATTTTACAAATTGGGGGTAATAAGAACTACCTCCTAAGGTTGTCATGAGGACTAATGAGTATGTGGAGAGCACTTAGGACAATGTTTGGTGCGTGCTTACTGCCGTGGATATGACTGCACAATCAACACAATACCTTTGCAGTCTCCTCCTGCCTGTACTTAACCATGGCTGGGCCAAACCCCGAGGATAGAATTTACCATGTGAAACCATAGATTGCTCTGGGGACACCAGTTTCTTCTCCACAACAGAGATTATCCCTACATCCCGGCCACTCTTTCATACCTGGGCGCTCCTGGAAACACCTTATTATCTCCACCCAGGAGACGGGCCAGTTAAAGAACACATAAGTCTCAGTTGAAAGATAACCTGAGAGTGGGGAAGGGTTAGTGAAGTGTTAATTCCTAGATCACTGGCTGCCAAAGGGGAGTCTAGCTGGCATTACGGCTGGGGATAAAGGGAGAATGTCATTTTCCTCTGAATGCCCAGAAGGGAAGAACTGCCAAGATGTCGGCGCACCCATGATCTGGGACAGAGCACAGGGCGCAGAAGGTAAATGCTCCCACACTGCTTGGCAGGCAGAGAAATAGGCAGTGAAGAAACTGGATGGGCTGCTAGAGGTGACCCAGGAAGTCCAAGTCAGTGTTGGGAGAAGACTGAGGTCTTGAACTCAGATCATCCCAACACCATGAAGTGGAGCAGCTCTCCACCATGCGCTCACGATGGTACCTCGGACAGAGTGCATTTTGACGGCCCAAAGCTACGCTGCTTTGGTAAGGCCTTCAGAAGTCTGGTTTATTTCTCACCTGGGTCTCTTTCAGGCTCAGGTAAGGACTCTGACAAAATTAAGGAAAACGTCATTCAGGCTATGGATCCCAGATGATCATTTAAAGGGGCTGAATCTGGCTGTCACCACATATCTAAGAAGGATGCCATGAGCAGATACACAACGCCCCAGAAAAGGTGTCGGGCCAGGACCAGGGCTGCGAACTGAGGGTCTGCCGTGTCCTCCCCTTCATCCTCATATTCAGCTTAAGACAGGGTCTTACAAAGAGATGTCACACATTACAAACTATGAAGAAACTCAGAGAGGATTTAGAGAGGAAGCCAAAGAATTGGTCAACAATACCTGTAAGGGAGAGGCTGTAGAAGTGGGATGGCAAAATAGACTTCATTCAACATTTACTACATGCCAGGCTTTGTGTGAGGCATTCTTCACTTTCTTCTACTGGGAGATGAAAAGACAGAAAGATGACCTTCTAAACATCATATGAACCATCCATCAGGGTTGCCTGGACAAAGATTCACTCCTGTGGACCCAGCCTATGCTAAGTAGGAGAGAAGGGTCATTTTTTGTCCACAAGAAGCGGGCATTCTAGTCAGCTATGTAGACAAAACAATTAGCATAAATGGCAGTACTCAATGCATGATGTATTTGTCCTCAATGCATGATGATATAAAAAAGTTAGGTGAGGGGGCGCCTGGGTGGCTCAGTCGTTAAGCGTCTGCCTTCGGCTCAGGTCATGATCCCAGGGTCCTGGGATCGAGCCCCGCATCAGGCTCTCTGCTCAGCAGGAAGCCTGCTTCTCCCTCTCCCCCTCCCCCTGCTTGTGTTCCTTCTCTTGCTGTTTCTCTCTCTGTCAAATAAATAAATAAAATCTTAAAAAAAAAGTGAGAAAAAAATCTTTTGGAAAACACGTTTATACAGCATGATCTCTTTGTTGTGTTTCAGTGAAGGAGAAAGGGCAAGGCACATTCATTAAAGGCCTTCGATGTACCGAGCATTTTCACCTCCCAGCACTACAAGGTAGAGACAGCATTACTATTTCTGTTTTACAGAAAAGAAAATTCAGACTCAGAGAAGTTTAGTAAGTTGTGCAAGATTACTCAGTTAATAAGTGTGGAAAAGGTCAGGCACTTTCTCACCATGGCTGTGGAGGAATTCTCATGGAACCCATTGGCCTGGTCAGAGAGGAGGGCACAGGGCCTTCCAGGTGGGAGCAAATAGGCCTGCAGATGCCACAAGAAGAATGGGCTCCAACCCTAGCAAGAGAGGCTGTGTTTGACCATGACGATGAAGGTGGCACAGCCCCCATCTGAGATTTCCAGGCGGAGGCAAAATCACCTTTTGTATAAGTCTTTTAAAGGTGGCATTTTGAAAACTACTTCTTTTTTTGCTTCTCCTTAGAGGCAAGAGGGCAAATGAAGAGACCTTTCAATGTCCTCTCTACCCAATGAATCTCTGACTCCCCTAGTTTCCTTCCCAAGATGCTATGGTCCAGATGTTTAAAGAGCCTCCTCCCTTAGAACCTACAACCATAACACATGCAAATAAGTTCTGTCAGCATCTAATTATGAGAGTGATGAGTCCCCCATGCCTCACTGGAGGTCATAAAGAGGTAACTGGAGCCATGGTTAGTGGGCTGAGGTCACACTTTTCTGCCAGTAGAGATGCAGACACCACAAGAAGAAGCTGTCCCCTTTAAGACTTTTGCTTTCCAGATAGTGGCTAAAACAGGCAAGAACGCCCTGTTCCAAGAAGCAGAAAGCAAAAGAAACACAGACTTCCTTGCCCATGATGCTTTAGTCTATGATTCTATTCTCAATGCACCTCAAGTTTTAATCCCAAAGAAAAGCTCAAAGTCATATCCATACCTTTTCTTGGGCTTAAGGCAGATGGGATCTTCCAGGATCCCAAACTTAGGAACTCTTTTGTAGTGGGCTTGGCCAGTGGCCTCCACCGACATGAAAAGAAGAGGAGGAGGGGAAGAGGAGGAGGTATCCAGTATCAGCCAAGCCTGATTCTCTCCCACTAAATTCAGAGCATGAAGGCAACAGCTGGATGCAGCCTCCCCTGGAGTTCTGGAGTCCCCGGTCCAGGGATTTCATTTTATGACAGAAAGGAGACCTTTCTCTGGGAGATCTTGGGGTGGCATTTGCCCTCTATATCTGAAAGGAAGTCCTTGAAAGCAAGAAGACTGTAAATTTTGTGTTATTTTTGTTATTATGTCATTATAAGCAACATCTAGAGTTTGCAATGAGTACCTGGACTCACCTATTTTTCCTCTAACAAATTATTCATCCTTGGTCTACCCCCACCTATCCACCTCACAAGGACCAAAAAGGGCTTGCTTCTTCTTTATTTTGAAAGGTGTTTTCAGTCAAGTCCAAGGTATATGCTAGGTGGTCTATTGGCAAAAATCATAAAATACAAGGTCAGGAAACTTTCTGCCAAATATGCCATTAACTCGGGTGCCCTCAGACAAATCACATCAAAATAGAGGCATTTTCTTGCATGTGAAATAGAGACGCAATATCCCATGCCTAACTTGATAATTTAGACAATAATGTTCAAAACCTAATTCAACAACAAAGTTTACATCTCCTCCTAAATTAGTGTCCAGCTTCAACTTTAGCTGCTAGGGTCAAATTATTACAGAAGATTAGAGTCATTTAGGAGATGAAGATTATTCCATTTCTTCAAAGTT